TGAAGTAAATCTAGAGGTAAGCTATAGAGAATGTTTTCCCACAAAAAGGGCACTCTCAGTATGACTGCAGTAGGGACCTCTAGATATCAGTTTGAACTTGGCTGACTTTTGCGGGTTCTTCTAGGCCACCTACTAGACTTGATTGAGTCTTCTGGAGGTCTCCTGCAGCCGCGAGCAGAGGTCTTCACACCTCAACTCTCTACTCACAGAGACCTTCGAGGACCTTGGGGATCAAAGTCTAGACCACCTCTGCAGCTCCAGACCCAGATCTCTGGCTGCTATGGTTTCCTAGTGTCTTAGCAACTGCTGACTGGTCATGGGCTCTTGTGCAAAACGACACCACCCCTCTCCCCCCACAATTTCCTGCGGGATGGGGTGGTATCCGGCGGGCTGGGATTCTGTCCTGAGATGGCACTTCAGTGTATTCCAGCCCTCAGTGATCTGGCGCCGGGTCTACCTTCCATGCTACTAATTGAAATCCAGGCTCTGAAGCCACTTCCCTTCTCTCTGCTTCCAGACACCCCCATGATAGTTCTAGTTGGCTGTGGTGACCCTCAACTCTGGTGTCCTGGCCGTGATCTTGAGATGCCCATGGCATCTTTTAAAACACTGCAGTGACTTGGAAGCAACTGGTAACATGCAGCACCTTAGCTAACTGTTCTCAAGACAAACGTAAGTGCCATAGTCTTGGTCCGCTATGGGTACACTCCTAGGTTAGGCAGACATATGTAAACGTCACCCAGAACTTTACCTGTCAATAAATGGTAGCACATCACCCCTTAGTGTGGGCACTGCTACAGGTTCCAAATAAATATCAGAGACTATCAACTCTACACAGTGTGAAACAGGTCGTAGAGAGTACTCAGAAGACTTGGAAACTATTTCCTTTTGAGGGGGGGGCACTGTTGGGAACTGAACTCATGGCCTTGTCAGACAAGCACTGTAGTATGGGCAAGCATTGTACCACTAAGCCATTTCTCTCTGCCCAGGGCTAGTTAAATAGTTTATTTTAGAGCACCAATTTTCAAGTAGGTTATGTGTTTGCCCATTAGGGCTTTGACGTCTCCTGGGGAGGGGCAGCCAATGCTACAAAACTTTGTAGACATGTAGGGAGTTGGAGAAGCGTGTGATCTACAAGACCAACCCTGTGTGGACATAGCAGAGTGCATCAAGAGACCCAGAGGCTCTCCATGATGCTTCCCTCAAATGCTGCCTTCCAGTGAGCCACTTGGGAGCTCAAAATCAAGACACCCCAGTCAGCATTGAAGCACATGGGACTGAATATGGCTTCGATACTCAAAGGTTCAAATGTGCTGGGCAGTCAGTCAGTCAGGTAGGGGAGAGGATGAAACACTCATGGGACTCATGGGGAGATTGATACTAGAGAAGTAACACCCTTACTAGCTGAGGGCCAGGGCATGGCATCACAGGCTCCAGACTTCATATATAAATGCCCAAAATAGAACAACTGTTACTAATCTTTGCAAAGTCTCCAAGTAGCAGAGATTAGGTTGTAGTTTAAATCTACCAAATGCAATTTCATAGGGTTCAACTTAATATAGGCTATATCCTTAAAAAGACAAGGTATGAACTATACACTCAACTCCTAGAACAGTTTTCAACCTGTAGGTCACAACCCTTTCACAGGGGTCGCCTAAGACCACTGGACAACACAGAAGATTACATTATAACATTATTGTTATAATTCATAACAATAACAAATTACATTTATGAAGTAGCAATGAAAACAATTTTAAGGTTGGGGGGTCACCACAACACAAAGAACTGTATTAAAGGGTTGCAGCAATAGGAAGGTTGAGAATCATGGTCATAGAGAAACCCTGGAAAGAAGAGGTGGTCTTGCCCCTGAATGTCTGCAGTTCCATGGCCCAAAAGATACATAGTGGGGCCTAAGGAGGAACTCAAATATAATAAATCCCTTTAGAAAATTTTATGTGTGTAACTGTCCATGTTTGCATAAGAGTGTAGGTGAGTACATGCTATGGGACATATGTGGAGATCAGAGACGACTTTGGGTATAGCTGGTCCTTGTCTCCACCTTGTTTAAGGCAGGACCCCCCCTTATCCTTCCTTCATCACTGTATAGGCCAGACTAGGTGGCACAGTGACTTCCAGGAATTCTCCTGTCTCATCAGGGATCTTGAGAGCACTGGGGTAAGAGACGCGCACCACTTCCTCTGTCTTTTATGTGGGCACTTGGGATCTGATCTCAGTTAGTCAGGCTTGGACAGCAAGCACTGCACCCAGGGAGCCATATCTCTAGCCCATTAGCCGCTTCTTCTAAAAGCAGGCAGAGATGGACAGACCAGGACCAAATCTTGATGAACATGGAAACAAACAAAACAAACCAACCAAAGGCAATTCACAACAAACACTGCCCCCCACCCCCCAAGAAAAAAGACGTGCAAAAGCATGCCAAACCAATTCAGACGTGGAAGTGTACAGAAAATGGAACGAGAAAAGGAAACATTAATTCTGTATCAAAGCGGCCCCGCTCTTCCTGCTCAGTACAGATTGGTCTTGGGTCCCCAGGTTCCAGAGGATACTGAGATATCCCGAGATGCTCTCTGGGAGTTTCCTTCTGCTATTTCCCTGGCGTTACAAGATGCACACTGGAAAAAGGGGTGGGGTCATTTACACATGTGGAGTAGACCCAATTAATTCCATGTAAACCAGGGTACCCTAACCAACCCTCCCCCCCTCCTTCTCCAAACTGTAAAACTTGCACACCTGGTCCTTGCCCAGGAGCAAATGACTACACTAAATTAAAAAAACCTGGCCTGCACATGCTGGGGCGTGGGAAACCCTGGCCCCCACAGCAGCCACTAACTATCAGAGGCAGGCCTGGTCCAAGCGACCTCGGGAACAGACAGCCTGAGTCTTAAAATTTCTAACACACCAGGAGGAAAAAGTGTGTGGAACGAGCCTAGTCCCATCTAATACTGCCAGAGTGGATCTTGTCTATCTGGAAGTGCTTACCTGTATTGCAGAGCTGGGGGTGATCTATGGCTTCACCCTATTCTGATGGTTTTATCTATCTTTCTGGCTCCAAAGATCCACAAAGACATGCTGGCATAGGGCACTGCCTCTGTGTGGGATTGGTTTGGGTTCCTGAAGTGCTGGGGATATGCTTGGGGACTTTTGGGGTCTGGTACCTGACTCAGGAGCCGACTGACATTCATGGGAGCAGCAGAGAGGGTGGAGGGGCTCCCCTGGATCTGCTGATGCAGAGGAATACCTGGCTCTTCCAGTGCCATTCTTGGTGGGAACCCTCCACTGACCATGAGATGACACACACCACATCTTCTCTGTGTTACTGGACTGATCTGTATAAGGGCCAGCTACTCTCTGGACCCTGGAGGCATGAGGCCAGCAGACCCTACTGTCTGCCTTGCCAAAAGTGAGTCATTTCCTTACAATTTTGGCCTCTACAGTTTTCTTTAAGCCATAAAACCAATCTCAGGCAAAGGTTAGGATTTTACAGACTCATTCCTCATCTCCTACCTCATGGGATTATGGAGATAGCGCTGCCTTTATAAGATAGTTTTCTATCTGGACCCTGAACCGTAGTGGATGCCCTTGGTGGGCTTTGGCGATGGATGCTTACTGGCACTCCACCCCCTCCCACCCTGATTCAGGCAGTAACCCCCAAAGGGACACAGTGGTTGGAAGTGTCTGACTCTGCCCTCACTTCTTTGGACTCCATAGTAACACGTGTCCCCTGTGCTGGGCAGTTGGACGTGTTCATACACTCACTTTAGCCACAGCTCTCATCGTCACACACAAAGTGTGGGAGGTACACAGACATATTCTCTTCCACAGTAGATAAATGATGATGGTGTGGTCATTGGACATACGATGTCCTCCAGATATCCACCCACCCCTCCCAGAAACTCCTTAACAAATTCGGGTACCCCTGCTGGATAACATGGGGGTGAACAAGGAGTCCATTCATATCCTTTCAGTTTATTTTCATAATAAGAGTCTTCTATTTTATCCCCTCACTTGTCTAACCTGTTAGTGAACCCAGTCAGGCATCAGCCTGCACTTAGAGGAATTCTGACCTTGTTTGCTTTTTTGCTTTCTGTTTTGTTGTTGTTTTAATTCAACTCCATCTTCAAGCGTGAACTGAGAAGCAGGTATAATTCAAACACCTTTAAATTATACTTAGCAAACACCATTCTGAACCTCAAGATTGCTTTACATTCACCATATTTGTAAAATTCCATTTCCCTCTTAAGAAGATACATCTATTTGCATGCATATATCTGAATGTGCATATATACTAATTTATATTAAATGATTTCTGGTAAAAGTCAGTATGCAGAATAAGTTTCTGCTATCAGCCCAGAATTATCTTAGCTGTAGTAATTAATTTCTGTGCTGAACAGACCCAAACAAGCTTTAGAAGAAATGCAGTGTTTTCTTAGGTTACTGGGAGACTTTTAAGTGCCCTTAGCCAACTGTATTTAAGCAATGCATTTTAAATTCATCGTTCAGAATGTACACATGGTAAGTATGAGAAATTCAAATTTATCTGGGAAGATGCCATGGTGGAGTGGACTCTGAAGTCACTGTTACTGAGTCACTTCAGAGAAGTGGCTAAGTGTCCAGATACAAGGCTCATTTTCTGTGCTGTTGGCAGGCAGAGAGTTGAAGTTAACAATAAGCTTATTGAAGAATTTACTGCCATTCAGATGTGTTCCTATTTAAACCTTTCAGCCAAGCTAGAGTCAAGAGTTGATCTGCATGCATCATTTTTACTGCTTTTGCCAAGAATTATGTGACCATGTGCCAAAACTAACACAACCACTTGGAGTGGGCGGGGTCGTGAGCTCTTAGCCTTCGGCCTTCGGCTTGGCCACATGCCGCCTGTGTTTAGATGATGTGAAAATTCCAAGCCTGTGTAGTCAGTAACGAGCTGTGATGTCAGCCATAGTTAATAAGTCAGGCTCCCCAAAGGCAGCGCGGTTACCAACCTTGCTGGAACACAGGGTGATGGAGAGCAGGCAAGGGGAGCCCCTCTGTGGCTGCAGGTTCCTGGAAATAGGCTTCCAGCCAGGCTGTGCACTGCTCCAGGGACTCTGGCAGTCCCTCTGGCCCTCTGAGCAACTCAGCATTGGCTGGGGCCTCTGTGGGGCTGCAAAAGGGATAAGAGACTCAGTCACCAGACGTGTGAAAAGCATACCTACTGCAGCTAATGGAGGGAGACTGCGGTCACTCCCCAGTGTGTGTCTCTGCCAGACACACAAAGACCTTCAGGTTAACAGAAATGACCACTAAGGGACGTTGGGCGAGATGGCACTGTGGTCAGTCCCCTTATCTGTTTTTCTATCCCCAGGCTTATTAAGTATAGGGAGGGTTCAAAATGTAGATTGCAAGCTTCTGCAGGCAGTGCCTGGGGACCACCAAACGGACACATAGGAACATGTCATGCCTCCATTTAGGGTTTGTAAGTCAGCATCATCAGGCAATCAACGACAGAAACTATTCTCCCTAAACATCAGGTAATTAGACTGTACCAACCACCTCCCACTTCTCATTCCCAATGCCCACAGCGGAGGGGGCATCCCTTTGCACATGGCTCTGGTATACACCTTTGGAAGCTCCTTAGAGTATGCTGACCCATGTTCCCTAGCACCAGGGACAAGTGACATCACCTTATGAGTTTAGTGCTTCTAGGCTGGGGGGAGGGGACTCCCTTCTGCCTGGGGTGTCCAGTTGGAGTTGCTTAGTAACAAATTCTCCTGTTCCTTCGTTGCAGTCCCTGTCCTTTGACTAATGCCCTGGCGTTTAAAACTGAGGTGTTTTCACAGCTGTTTTGAATGGGTTCTTGCAGATCCTGTACCGGGCTAGTCTTCTGTTCCTTGATTTGGCCCTGCATGGATCCCACTGTTCATGATCAGGTGGGGTCTGCCTTCTAGGCTATGCTCCACAGGCTAAGAACACATGTTGTGAGGGAAGGCTGCTTCTGTGCGCTGGGCTCTGAGCCTGGAGTTTTACACCAGACTCGGTTTTTGTTTCAATTTTCTGGGACCCACACCCACAAGGCACAGACACTGGATCTGATTTCTCTGGTTATTTTTCTCTTTCTCAGCACTCCTAGGCTTGAGACAACAGCATGCTTCTGGGCCTGGAGGACACAGCTTCTCTGGGCCTTGCCGGTAGCCTGGTGTCAGAGCTCTCATGGGAAGGTGGGAAGGGCCAGGATGGTGTAGAGGTGAAAACTCCTTGGACTATTAATCTTACCAATCTCCTTTGGCACCTATGTGCTCTGAGGACTGACACAGTCATTCAGTCCATGGGTCTGTGTCCACACATGGGCATCTTGGTGAGGCAGGAGACCTTCAGTTAGTTTTGAAAATGGGACCCCACACAGGTGTGACCAAAGGCCTGGCTGCCTGTGTAAAGTTGGTGGAGCGCAAGATGGGTTCCACAGACAAGAGTCACTAGAGTTACCAGGGGTAGGGATGGGGACACAGTTTTAGATAAAGACTAAGGCAAAAAGTAGCAGATCCAGACCTCAGAGGTAGGACAGGAAGGTCTCAAGTCACACACAGATGACCTGGTTCCCAGAGCGAGCAGGGTTAGAAGGTCCTATGCCAGGGTACCCATGAGCATGACTGGGTGGAGGGGGATATGTAAAGGTTTTGTTTGAGGAGGTGCAAGGTGCTGGTGTTCAGTTCCTTCCTTGTTTGTGTATCGCAGAGCTCACTTTTATAGGGCAGTGGCAGACTTTTGGCAGAGCCTTGCAAACCGGCCTGTGAAGGTGCCTGACTGCCTAGGACAGCTTATTGGTGGGAGCTTTGTGTCTCCACTAAGTCCTTGTATATTTCAAAGAAATGAACTTCCAGGGTGGGATGCACCACATGGCTCCTTTGTACTGTTTTCAGAGAGAACAGGAAGTCATTCAGAAAAGGCCTTGGAAGCACATGAACCCATCCGGCCCTCAGGAAGGAGGAACCAGAGCATGGATAGAGAAAGAAACCACAATCCATGGGGATACAGGGACGGAAGTGGATGGCTGACGGGAGATGTCAGGCCTGGGAGGAGCAGGGAGACAGCTCAGGTGGCCAAGTGCTTGCCACACAAGTATGGTGATTTAAATTCGACTCTCAGTGTCCAAGTGAAAAAACTGGGACCCACAGCAAGTTCTCCTACTCTCAGTGCTGGGAATGGGAAGACAGTCTAGCCTGATTGGTGAGTTCCAAGTCAGTGAGAGATCCGGTCTAAACAAGATGGACAGTACCCGAGGAGTGACACTAGGGACTGTCCTCTGCACATCCCAAACCCTATATACACACATCCTGTGGCTATCACAACTGACCTTTCTGAAGCTGCTAAGCAGGGTCTCATTCAGTCCAGTGCCTGAACGAACAGGTACAGTGTCAATCCAAACCACTGTTCCATGTATACCCCAAGTGGGCAGGAGAGATGACAGTTCACTTCACATGCAGACTACAGGCCTCTCTTGGGAGTCTCCTGGGGAGATGGAACTGTCTCATTGCCCTGACTGCTTTCCCCATTAGCAATGTCTGATCATGGGAGGGAAAACTTCTGCCCGTGCCTGGCTTAGATATCACTCAATTTTAGAGATACATGCTCAGTCATTCTATTCTTACTCTGTCACTCACTAACCAAGTGAATGGAGTATCAAGGATGTCTAAGAGGAGAGATGGAGAAATATATAATGTACTTTGCCCTCCTGGTCCCTGGAGATGGTGGAAGAACTGAAGGAATAGGTGTGGTGTCTGCTGGAGGTGAGCGGGTCCCTGCAGAGCAAGGCAGCCCTGTAGTCTTCGGGGTTCATGTCACCTGCTCAGATTGGCACCGAATAAAATTCATGTTCATGTGCACAGACACTCACCAAGGACAAAGGAGGGGAAGGATTGCCCTTAGGTCCTACATCAAACTCCCACCTTCATAGAGCATGAGAGGTGGGTGGGGTAGGGTAGGTACAGATAAAACAGGGAGTTAAGACTAGCTAATACCGCAGCATCAATGCCAGGTTACTGTGGGTGCTGAGGGACAATGCGCACAGGGGTCCTGAGGGACATCCATGTCCACCGTGTAAGGGAACGTTTTAAGGCACGAGTCTGGGTCTTCTGCATTTCCCAGTGACTGCTCAGAGACCTCTGCCGCCCATGTTGGCCTTCCCGCTACCTTGCAGTGGGCGAGCTGTGTTTCCTAGCATTTCCCACTCTTAAAAGGATATGCGAAGAATTTTTATAGTAGTAAAATTCATCTTAAATTGATTTTTTATGCTTGTGCTAAAGATCTCACCTCTGATTCACTCTGGGGTTCTCTTTTTAACTCTTTCTCCATCGGCACTAGATAACTAGCCATGGGTGAAATGTAATTAAACAGCTTTGATTCCGAAGCAAGGATTTATGGGGCTACATTTAAAATGAATGGCTTTAAACACACACATAAAACTAGATTTTTAAAGCCATGACACAAATTTCCATTTCTACAATAAAATGAAATTTATTCTCTTGCCCTGCCCTCTTTCACCAGTCTTCCGGACTGTTCGTCCAGGCAAGAGCTACGGCGTGACAGCAGAGTTATGATGGAGGAGTTCCTCCAGACCTCCCCACTGACGAACCCTGAGATTCCAATAATTAGGGGCTCTGTGCCCCCACCCTTCTGAATGACATATTCAAGTTTCCTCAGTACCATCCAAGAACAAGATGCAAGCTCATGAGAACCGCTCATACAGTGTGTTGTATCCCTTGGGGACATTTTCTTCAATCCCAGTGGTTGACACAGGACCGCAACTGTAGGTTAGCATGCCAACACTCCCATACAGGAATAAGGAGGTAAAACCCATGACACAAACCCCACTTTTGTTCTTTAACTTGGCATTGGAAGATAGCTGGGGGCAAAAAAAAAAGACCCTAGTTCCTTAAGCTTCTGTAAGGGGAGGATGGAGGATGAGGCATTTTAACACATTGTGGGTGGGGCCAACTAAGGCCTGTTTTGAACATTTCCTCAAGAACCCAGCACTTGTTGGTAATTCCAGGTCAAGAGTGTGTTGCCTCCTGGACGTCCAGAGTGCAGGATGGTCCATGTGAAGTTGTGCTGCTGCTGCTGTCTGTGTGAGGGCCTCAACTCTTTCCCTTCCTTGACTTTGAGAAAGAACGACTCACAGTGCATGGCAGCTTGGATCATTTCTGCACAGGGCAAAGGCGAGTGACTCCAAAGTCCCAGTCCGTCCTTCTGCCACATGAACAGAGTTATTCTCTCTATATGAAGCTTCCATATCAAGACATGTACACCCTCAGGAACAGAAGGGAAGACAGGCAAGACTAAGGCAGCCAAGACTAATGGAGATGGTCCCAGTGCAGGGTGGGGTGTGCTTCTTGATTTCTGAATCCTGCCAAGTTAGTTAACCACTGAGTGGAGACCAGAGATGGCAAGTGGTTCAACGCCATAGCCTTCCACAGGAGCCCTTGCCTGGGGTCTCATTCTTTACCAAGCAGTGAGATATGCATGCCATGCTACAAGAGGAACACAGGGCACAGCTGTCGCCACCTCCTCCCATCTTTCCCAGGTACAGACTCACCCAACAGTTTAAAACATGGCCCAGCCCATGGGAGACTTAGGCATACAGAATTTGGGATGCTCCAGGAAGCCCCGGGAGTAGACTAGAATCACTGAAGGCTCTTTTCTAAAAGACTTCTACCTCCCCAAGAGAGTAAAATGAATGTACTTACCTTAAACATAATTTGATGTAAGAAAACAGGCTGCAACTTCTTTAGAGTCATTCACATGTATGGGAACCATGTACTGACAGTCACCCCCAAGGTGGCTGCTGCTATTGGACAATCAGAATGCAGAATGACAAGACCATGTACTCATGCCATCTCCTCTACGACCCAGTCTCTCCCCCAGGGGTTGACTTTGTACTCTATGCTTTGAATGCTATGCTATGCTGTGAATGTTAACTATGACACTAGAGGGTCATACAAGAAGAATTCTACAGACCAAATTTCTTCCAGACTCCGGCAAGGAGCCAATGTAGGCTGTGTCCTTCAGCAAGGTGTAGGGGAAGCTGTGTGGCAACATGTGGCGTTCCTGGCAGGGCTCTTCACAGGAGGAGGAATCTAGAGCTGAGACTACATGCAGCGTCCCCGACAG